GGGCATCACTCTTCGGATTGACATGCGACACAAATGCTGAAGGCTAGCAACTTGTCTTGGAGTGGCCCAAAAATACACACTTCCATCATGTGTCCTAAATAGAAACAACAAGCATAAGTATATGTATTTCAAAGTCCCTATAGTTCAGGCAATTATCACCATGGTCTATGTATTAGAATTGCAAATTTTACCTTAAAACATAATTTCCAGAGAACTACCCGATGATGGGCTCCGTCACAAGGCACTCACTGTTAATGGTTTGTATTAGCTGTCCCTATAAAGCCTCATGTGCTCACAGGAGGTGAGGCTTTGGGAGGCCTGGATCACGGGTATGTGATGCTGAATTAGGCAAACCATGAATGGGTTTATAACTGCGTGTGACGTTGGGAGATGAAGCCTGGTGGAAAGACGTGGGTTGCTCTGTGTGTGTGTGTGTGTGTGTGTGTGTGTGTGTGTGTGTGTGTGTGTGTACACACATGCTTCCTCCTCCCTTGATCTCTACTTCCCACTGCCATGGCACGAGCTATTTCTCCGCTGCAATACCCCTCTGCCATGCAATGCCCCTCCGCCACGCTGCCCTGCCTTGAAGCCAGCCAACTATGGATGGAAACCTTGAGCAAAAAATAAATCTCTCCTGCTTTAACTTGTGCATGTCAGGTATTATGTCTCAGTGAGGAGAAAATATCTACCACAAACATCATGAAAAGCACTGTGAGAGACTTACAATGAACTGCCTGCTTTGCTTTAAAACCCATCTTAACTTGCCCTTCTAAGAAAAGAAACATACCCAGCAGCTAGAACACTGCCATCAGTAGAGAAGGCACAGCACAGACCATTGCTCAAAGGTGCAACTTGTACTGGATAATCCTCATCAATTCTCCAAAACCTCACCATTCTGAAAGAAGACAAATGATCAAGTAAGCATCTTTTATGAAGTTCAAGGTAAAAGCAACTTTTAAATTCTCAGAGAAACGCTTGAATCACAAAATACACAAACACAAATCACTCTAAAAAGTAAACAGGGTAACTTATTTAAAAAACCTTTCTCCTTACTTTCTTTTTATCCTTAAAATCTGAATGTTTCACTCTTTCCCAAGGCACTCATAAAAGCCTTTTCACTTTGCTGTATCTAGAAATACAGCAAAGAACTACATTCAAGAACAAGAGCAGAGAGGAAAACAGCTACTGGCAAATAAAAAATTCTCCTGTATGTCTGTGAACATTCTGGGAAAACGGTAATGAGTAGTTTCAGGAACTGATGCGATCAAACTGCTCAGTGCCATACCCAAGAACATATAAGTACATGAAAAAGTGGAATAGCTACAATTTCTGCTTATTACCAATAAGCAGCAATTTCTTACACATGATAATTTATCTTCTAGTCTGAGCAGACATAAATTACTGTCTTTACTATTTCAGCTTAGAAGTGTCCTTTTGCTTTTCACCCTTGATAGGACACTACTTTAAAAAAAAATCTCTGTGGCTAAGCTAATGCTAATAGCTGGTTAATAATCTGCTGAGCTTGCCTAAGTCAGTTCAATAGGGAACAGAGAAAGAGGTGTTCATTATCATTAGTTTACAGAGGTACAAGAAAGATGACGCAGTTTGGGCCGGCCTTGAACTCAGTGATCCTCCTGCTTCAACCTCTCATTAAATAGAAGGATGAAAGGTAATTAAGAGAAATAAGCTACAATTTAAATACTTACTTATCATCAGCAAGGCTTGCAATGTGTAGTCCATCGTGACTAAAAGATACAGAGCGTACCCATCGGTCATTTGCTCCTCCGGCAAATATTGGAGTAGGCGGGGGAAACAGGTGCCTGAGGTCAAACACACGTTCTTTTTAATGGCTTAGACTCACTTCAGGAAACACAAGTACAACAACCATACATCTGTCTTTGAATAAAGCAGTCTTAATGAATGCAACTGAGAAGACTAAGTAGAGCTGATATATCTGAATGAAATGACAGGGACCCTTTTTACTGTATGACTGAGAAGCTACGATTAAGTATAACTTTGGTTTTAACTATTTTTCCCCAACATGAAACTAAATATAATTATCACTTCCCACTGGATACTGTTAAGCAGCAAGAACTCTCATCATGAAAGCCAAAGTGATTTTTAGAATTTACATCTAAAAAGCTTTGTATTCCCAGGCTTAATGAACAGCAAACTTTTAAATTATAGTATACTGTAATTTTAGTTTTCATATATTAACAATTCTAAGTATTCATCTTCTTTTTTAACTAAGATGGTCTCACTATATTGTCCAGGCTAGTTTTGAACTCCTGAGCTCAACTGATCCTCTTGCCTTTGCCTCTGGAGTCCTAGAACTATAGGTGTATCAACAACCCAGCACACTGTCAGCATATCTGCTGCCACTTGGCATTGCAACTTAGGACCTTGTGCTTGCCAGGCAGGTGCTCTGTACTGCTGAGCTATATTTCCTTTTTTTTTTGGTGGGGGGTACCAGAGATATAGCCTTTGTATCAAGCTATACCTTCAGGTCTTTTTAAAAAAACTTTTGAGATTGGGTCTTGCTAAGTTGCTCAGCTTAGGCTCAAATTTATAATCTTCCTGCCTCAGTCTCCCAGAGTATTGGGATTATAATTTCTTAAAAGTATAGTGATAGCCAATGATGAATTATAGACTATAGCAATTCATTCAGTACCCACCCAAATTCCATCAGAATGTCTCCATTATGTGGATCCCAGATATACACACGAGTATCGTAAGATGCAGTAGCCAGTAATGCTCCATCAGGAGAAAAGTCACAAGCTACAACATCATGGTGATGCCCTTCTAGTTTGCGTATCATGGTATACGTATCCATATTCCAAAGGAAAACCTGAAATAAAAAGGCAATGTTATAGCTTCATTCAAACACACAGAGGACAAAATGGTACATCTTAAGACTAAAACTGATAAATTTAATAAAATTACATTAAATTAAAATTGTAAATTATGAGTAATTTAAATATGCTCAGTGTCATAGATTAAAATCAGTCTTTAAGTTAATTAAAACAGACATGCAAATTCTATTTCAAATATTTCTGTTAAATGTTAATTTAAAATATAAGCCTAAACATAAAATAAAGGCAATGCAATTTAGCCACAGAGTTATACTGAAATCCATTTATTCCAAAAATAATTAATTAAAATATACAGAAATAAACAGGGTTAAATACTACAAACCCCTTTTTTTTTTCCAGAAACTACTAAATTTTTAAAAAATATACAGACAGAAAATGTAAGGTTAACAAATTGTTACTCCATTGGCATCTCCCTTTGAGATAATCACTTGTTTACAATAGGCTTGGATCACCAACGTGAGCCTAGGAAGAGAAACAGATACTGCAAGCAAAGAGAATTTTCACAGCCAAATGAAATTTCTTTGGCAAACAAGGATGTTAAACCACATTATAATACGAAATGCTATTTTATGAAAACAATTACAGTATTTCTGTGAATCAAGATTTATATCAATCATTTTTCTCAAACTAAGTATAATCTTTAGTCATTTTCAGTATAAAACAGTTAAATTACTTAAGAACAAGTTCACATACATTTTTAGAATCTAAATATCAATAGTCAGACTGTGCAGAATAGCCCTAAATAAGATTCTAATGTTTATTTCAATGTTATATTAAATGTGAGCTTAGAAATTTTAATGATCCTAATATAATAATCTCTCCTCCTCTTGGAGTAAAATAATCCTTTTTCTACTGCACAGACACAACATATTTCCAAGGATAGTAAGCACAAATTTTAAGTTGGATCAAATACTTAAGTTATCTAGTATCTTCCAAAAAGTAGCACAGAGAGACCATTGAAAAGCCAATTAATTACTTCAAATTAAATTGGTTTCACTTGTTAAAGACTCCCACTTCCATCAAACTGGAAGATCAATTAACTTGGAGGAGTCAGAGGATTTCACTGTGGGGAAAATTATATTTAAAAAGAAAAAAAAGAAAGAAAGAAAAGCAGAAAGTGGACGTCGACCAGCACCTGTGTACGTACAGTACACCTTGCAGCCGAATGCAAGGTTACTTCATCCTATGGTAAAGGTCGCCCCCAGCCCGGTAGCCAGAGATGCCACTCTTTCTGCCCAGCTAACACCATTGTGCGCCTGTGTGCGAGTGGTGCCAGCATAACCTCAATCACACCAATATTGCTGCCACCACCTGTGACAGGGAAAGCAAGAAGCATATGGAAAACACACAGCCTAAAATAGCAATGTCAATATCTAGCTTTGTTGTTCTCATGACTTTTTTAAAGAATTATCTTGTGCTTAACTTTCAACATTTCTAACTATCATTATAACACACCTGTTTGCTAAATAAAATGCATTCAACTAGTTCCCACCCCACCTTTAATTCAAAGTGTATTGTGATCATCATATCATATGTATTTGGATTTCAATCCTTTCATAAATACCTGAAGCTATTAAGATTCCTTTAACTATACTAACTCAGCACTGGAATTCAACAATAAATAGCATAACTCTCTTAGGAGTCATTTGACTTAAGCTGTCTAGCAGGTATGCTACATAAGACACACAACATTTAAGTCTCATGTGTAGTTCATCCCAGGACATACATGAGTGCTTTTATTATTATTATGTCACTTTTTTCAGTTAAATGTCCAGGACCAGCTGGAACTCAAAACTTTAAAAACAGCAAACTGGACAAAAATAGAACAACAGAGAAAAAATAATTAGCAAGGGAATGTCTTAACACGAACTAGATCTCCTGTATAGCACATAAACTTTCCTAGATCTTACAGAGAATAAATTTCATATACCCTCATTTTATAAATATTATCTCTAAGAGCAATCCAGCTTCTTAACTTTACAAGCAATAACTATATTTAATTTCCCTCATGCAAATTCTCCCCCATCATGAAGTAAAACAATTACGATACTCATGACACCGAGCACAACTTAGTAAGTGTACTTAGATTTAAAATGATTATGCATACATAATTCAATTCATACGGAATGTGTAAGAACTTTGACACATACTGCTTTACTCGCTCCAACTGAACACAGCATTGAAGAGTCAGGAGAGAATGCACAGCTGAATACCCAGTTCTGATGCCCCCTCAATATTTTCATCATGTTTCCTGAAGAAAAACAAATATTGTATCAACCTTAGATGCATTGCAAACAAGTAGCATTTTAAAATGGCAGTAAAACGCACCACAAATGTTCACAGCTAAAAGTAATATAACAGGTTGACAATATTTACCAACTGCTTATTTTTATAAACAAATTTTTTCCCATATAAACACAAGTACGGTAGTTTGTTTATACTGTACTACAACATCAGAGACCATATGGCCTATAAACCCAAAACATGTAACATCTAGCCCTTTAATAAAATGACACTTCATCTGCAGGAGACAGAATTCTTTTAGTGTATTTCCCTTATTTTTCAAATGAAAGAACTGAAATATAGTTAAGACCCAATTTTCTTTTTTTTTTGCTAAGACTTATTGAGCATCTTCAAAATGCTTTTTTTAGGGGTTGGAAATTTAGCTCAGTGGCTAACGTGCTCGCCTGGCAAGCATAAGGTCCTGAGTTCAACTCCCAGTAACAACAACAAAAGTTTTTTCATCCTCTTCCATTTCAGTGATCTACATTCCATTCCCAACTCTTGGTTTCCTTACACTCAGAACACACAGCTATGCTTACCTTATTTAACTGTGCCCCTCAAGAGCTGAGCCATCAGTCATGGTGGTAAAAGACTATAGGGCCGGCACTCTGGGAGGCTGAGGTAGTAGAATAACAAATGAGCCCAGCCTAGGCAACTTCACAACTTAACGAGACCGTGTCTCAAATAATAAAAAATAAAAGGACAGGCTGGGGCTGTCAGTGCAAGACCTCTGAGTTCAAACTCCAGTATTTGGAGAAGAAGCGAGGTGAGCAATCAGAGAATTAATAACTGCAGGGTAGGTAGCTCAGGACTTGAGAATATTAGTAATTTATTTTATCAAGCAATGGTTACTATACACTAGGCGAAACAATGGCTCTAACTTTGAGGGATTTTTTTTCCTTCCACATACAATTTACATATACTATATACTACTCCTAGGCAAGTCGGTCAACTTCCAATTTGAGACTGTTGAGCACCAACACATCCTACTAAAATACAAAGTTTTAACTTAAAACATGAACTGCTTCATTAGATCAGAAGCCCTCTCAAACAAGATAGCAAGTCTATACCACAAATACCACATAGGCTTTATAATTATTTGTTACATAACAGTAGAAGCTAATATGTGAGATGATTTTGAACCCTATGAGGACATTTCTATAAAGAAATAGAAATCTTACAAGTAAGAAAAATCAGAATAAAAAAAGACAGGCATGGGCTGGCCAGATAGCTCAGCAGACTAAAGTGCCTACTGAGGCAGAGTACAGGGGCTGGGACTGGATTCCCTGGCACCACAAACTGTGCAGCCCCCGCCCCCGGGGCACACTGAGCTGGAGATTGAGTCTGGCCATGGTGGCATGCCTGTAATCCCAGCATTTGGAAGGCTGGAAACAGGAGGATCACTGCGAGTCTGATCTACATAGTGAGACCCCATAGACCCTGTACTAAA